TGGACAGGTCTCCCTTGAAAAAGAGATCGATGATCTCAATGGGACCATCTGGTTGAATAAAGGTTTAAAGAATATATATATTTAAAACATTTTAAAAAAACATTATTTACATTTTTTTTTTTGTTAAATCGCAGTAGATTTTGACAGTCTCACGACGGTATTGAGACTTTTATTTACAGTGATATCACGGTATTCAATATATCGTTACATCCCTAAATAATGATCAAAATGATGAGCCAATACATTGTTTAATTGGATAAATGGTTACCCCACTTAACAGTTTTTTTCCCTGAGATCCTCTTTTCTAATACAAATGCAATATAAAGTGTCCGTTACCTTCACTGGGCCTTTGCAGCTGTGTTTTTCTGTAGAACAGCATGTATGCGCTCTCTTTGCCCTGGAACTGCTTCTCTATGTCAGACTCCCTGATGGAGGTCACCACAGAGTCGTTAAGGTCGAACCAGTGACTACCCTGCTGACAGACAAGAGAAACACCGTGAGAATCAGCCATCAAAGTAACCACAAGATGTTCACTTGGACAGAATGAAGTAGGTGTCTTTTTTTCCCTTTCCTTGATTTCTTGTTCTGTTGCTCTGATACCTTTTGTTCGGGCTCTGGCTTCTGGTCTGGTTCAGGCTCTTCCGCGGCTCCAGGGTCTGCAGGAGTTGAAGGACCAGAGTCAGTGGTCTGCTCTGCTGGACTGGGGGTCTCAGTCACAGGGCTAGGAGGGTTTGCCTTCAATGCCACTCGAGTACCATTGGACACCAGCATGAACACATCATTGTGGGACTGCAGGAACTACACCAGAGGAGAAATATAATGATAGGTAAACTACATATATTTTACTATCCGCAAATAACAACAGCATCATAAAAAAAGAAAAGAAAAAATACCTTTCCTATGGGCCCGTGGGGCTTTCTAAACTTTTTGCTCCAGGATGAACTGATTTTATCCATGATTTTCTGTCCCAGCTGGTCCAACAGGACACTCTTTGATGGCTCCTAGTGGACAGGATATGAACAGCATCCGAATGATTAACTAACCATGGCTGTATTAATGACTGAACAATGAAAGCTCTTAACAATTGCGGTAACTATACCTGTGTAATAATAGCACTGATGACAGACAAAGGGTCGTCTTCTTGAAGTTTTGGCTCACACATTTGCTTGACCTCGTCCTTCACTTTCTTCTGAGTCTTAATTTTGCATTCCTCTTCCTGAACACACAACAAACAGAGGTGAAGTGATGCTTTTTAGCTATGCTTACTTTCAAAAGCTTGCATATTGTTATACAATTTTACATTGCTGATAGCAAAGCACGTCCAAAGATATCAGAGTAATAGCACTTAGCCAAATTGAATACAAGAAATAGATCCTCAGCCACTCATATTCTAAAAAGCGAGAACAACTAATGAATGCTTATTATATATATATATATCATAATATTGAATTAACTATAAATACAATCTCCCATGTTTGCTCTTCTGTTTTTCTCACCGGCGGCTCCCATTGGCCAAGCTGGTCTATGTCCCTGATATAAACATGGTAATGTCCTCCATAGCAGCCACCCTTATGGATGATCACAGAGAACAGCTCGTAGGAGTAATCAGAGTCCTCCCCATCAGTCTGTAAGGGAGGAAAACATAGTAGTTAACTTATTAAGATATCTTAGTGTGTGAACACTGGAAGGAGGCATGTGAAATGCTTATGATTAAATTATGTCAGGTACCTCTTCACAAAATGGCCGTAGGTTGATGTTTAAGGGGAAAACGTAGCGTCCCGTCTCCTTGTATCGCTCACATTTGGCATAGTCAAAGCTGAACCTCAGCAAAGACATGGTTATAAAAGGAGGGAGCTTCTTCAGCTTGGCAGACTGAATAAGAGCAACATAAGAAAAGGAATGTGAGATACAGCAAAGAAAAAGCTTTACAAGTTTAGTTCAAATATTAGTTTCCATTTGTTTCTCTTAAGGTTGATTTTTGTTATAAAACGTGTTATGGTACTGACAGTCTGAGCCGCTGGCACTGACCTTGGCAGCAGTGACCAGCCTGTCACACTGCCCACAGCGGTACAGGTTATTGCCCTCAAACAACTCTTCCTCCACAAACATGTTCAACAAAGCCTCCTCCAGGCTCGACACGCCACAAACACACACTGTCAGGTCCAAGAAGTCCTCCTGAAAAAGCCACATACAGAACTAGTTAATTACTCATGTGTGTGTGCTTTATGCAGTGTGACTGAACTCCTAAAGTATCATTCTTTCTCATTCGTACTAGGTCAAAGTATTTCCAACAGTATCTAATGGACAGAAAGAAGCCCGGTCAAAGAGACAGAGAAACCCCGCACAAATGGACACACCTGTCTTTGGCTGACGTTTCCACACTCCTTGCAGGCGATGCTGTTGACAATGGTCCCATGATACAGCTGGTGGATAAACGTGCTACCGGTGGTGCCCACAAGAGAGTGCTCCAACGCGCAGAACAAAATCCTGTTCAGCTCCTGCACATCATGCTGATTTGTTCCCTGAGAGAGGAGCAAACATAAAAGGATCAGATGAGGACGGATAGACAATCACTGTCCTAGTTCCAACCAATAAAAGTGTTGGTATGCATTACTTTGAATATTATAGTTTGCATAGTTGTGCTCAGGGATAAGGACAACACCTTGTACGTCGCAACAAGGTATTCCTTATTTTGTAACGATAAAGTATATGGGATATAGCTTTTCGGCTAATTCAATGTTTGTTTTTTTATAGTATATACACTTTACAATTGAAAAACAAAAAGCTTCACTGAAAAAGCATTTCCATTCTTCTTTTATCTAACCTGTATAACCTGCATAATTCCTTTTGAGTAGTGCATTGTGGGACAATTGTGACCATCCACAGATCAGTTAATTAAAACTAGTTTTCATGGTGCACTCTTGACCTGGAAAAGGTGGTTATGCATGTCCTGTGTAAAACTGTGAAAATAACTTCTTGCTTTTCCTTCTTTCCCTTCTCTTGTATTTATTTTTGCATGACTGCAGCTGGGAAGCCTCCTGTCAAAATGGAAGGTTTCAGGCCTGACCTGACCACAACTTAAAATCCATGTGTGTGAATCTCAGCATGAATGTCCTGGTAATATGACTGGAAGTTAAAATCAATCACTGAAATGAGAATTGTAACCTGAGCCTCCCTCTCTCCTTCCCACTGATAAAGATAATAAACACAGACCTCGCTGCTGTTCCAGCCAAAGCTGTCGGTAAGGTCTGCAGTGGAGGCGCTCTGCTGGTCCGCTAGCAGCAGACTGGCAAACAGTCTCTGTAGCTCCAGTGGGATCACTCTAACCTGAAGATAAGGAAGGTAAACATCATTAATACACATAGACATAACAAATGTGGTTACAGCTGCAGACACTTTGCAACACTTACTTTGGCCCCTGGTTTGTCTTTGTCTTCCAGACATCCTAGTTCATCTGCTCCCAAACTGAACAGCTCCCCTGTAAAGATACATAAACAATGAATAAGTAAGTGGGAAAGAATACAAATGTCCTAGTTTTCTACTGCTCTGGTATACTCCAATCTCAGCCCACTCTTAAGGGAATGTGATGTTACCTCTGAACTCTGGGGTGAACAGCAGGGTCTGGAGCAGGGAGTTGAGGTAGCAGGTGCCCCCCTGGTTCTTGATGCCGCACAGAGTGCTTCTTCCTCGGGGTGGAGGTGGCTCGTCTCCCCCCTTTGCAACTCTCCCACCGGAGGAGGTCGAAGAGAAGCCTTCCTCCTCCTCTTCCTCGAAAAGATTCCCAAACATGCTGCTTGAGTTATTTATTCCTTGTTCTCTGTGTTATGCTGGGGCTCTACCTCGTAATAAACCATGGGTTAGTTAGCACTCTGATATGCCCTCTTGCTATCTCATCTTGGTCTTGCCGAGTTCTCTGTTGACAATGGCCGGGCTAACTCTGAAATAAGAAGACTTCACTGGGCTAAACATAGCGACTATAAGGCTCCTGGATGTAATGTATGCGTTGGACTCGCAGGTATGTTTTTTAGCTTGCTTAGCTCGATGATAAACACAAAGCAGTCCCAGTCCCAAAACGATGAGCAGCTTGACAGCTCAGCAAAAATTAAAAGAAAACCAGACGTGAACGCTCAGTTTCACAACGACCGGAAAAATTGCGTCTCCCTACCGACAGTCTAACGGGTGATTAAACGGAGTATTTACACAAGGTAGTTCATGACACAGGCTCTTTCTTCACCTTTCTGTCTTAAAACAGATAACAAACTAAACGTAAATAGAAATGCCCTCGGTGAATAGTGGGCAGCCATGTTTCTTCCTGGCAGAAAATGGAATGATGCATTGTGGTACTTGTAGTGTCACACGTTGGTAACACACATAGCCTACCGCATTTTAATGTAACCGGAGATATTTGCATTACTGCGAATGTGTGCTTACTTTATGACACAGCGATAAAGACATGTGTTTTGGCTATATTTTATTTTCAAGGCAACACTAATTGTTGCTATTAAAACTACATTTCCGACAAGTCTAGTCTTGAAGTTATGGGGCTTGTAGTCTTCTAGAACAAACATGTTTTTTAGGTAGGGTGTTATGTGCCCAAGGCCATGTGTAGAGGTTTGCATACCACTCCAAGATTTTAGGATTTTGATTAGCCACAAAATTACTTGAATAAAATCTAGTGTAGTTTTGATGCTGCAGGGTATGTTTGCCCGCCCTACGAGCTCTAAATGAAAATAGCTGGATGTAAGTCAATGCATAAACAACTCTTGTTGTTCATAGACACACATACAGCCTGGTTCTATTTATTGTCATTCCAATATACCAATATAATTTGACATACAATTAATGTAATAAGTAACTATCAATCAAATTTCAGATATTCAGTTTATAAACAAAATGTTAAATATCATTCATATTAAATGTTTTTACAGAAATATATAAATCTCACATAGCTGTATACATTTCTGTCAGACAATGCACACAAATAAACAGATAAACTCTCATAAAAATATTGTGCTTGTGATATTTGGGTTATTATGAGGTACATCAGTTGTCCACCTAGCGCTGACAGTTGAACCTCTAGGTCATTTATAGTAGTCGCCACAAAATAATTCTGAAATGTTTTCATTACTTACATTTTTTCTCAATGTACGCATGTTGTCCTCATATTGTTTAACCCACAAAATCCCTAAAACAATATCAAGGCCATGACCTAAATTGCAGCTATGGCACTATATAAATTAGTAACAAGAAGAGAAAAGCCACATTTGGATTAAACCCAATCACACATTTTAAATATTATTGCAAACATCGTCTCACAAGGGAACACATGGACACTTCCAAAGAAGAATGAGAACATGTACACACACAAAGAAACAGTGCACTCTCCGTTTTTCCTAGTAAGTTTTCAGCTTAAAGATCTTGGCAAGAGGTGATTTGGCACTAGAATAGATCAGATATGATTCTCCTTTGGAGCTAAAAAACTCCCAGTCACTGCATCCAATCGTTGGGAGCCAATGAACAGGAACAAATCCTTCATATCCCTGCCACCTAAAATTAAAAAGAGAATAAGACTCATATATAAGATATGTCTGCATTTGTAAGGCTCTATAGTCAAATGAGCTAGGTCCTACAAATAAAGTAAATACAATAAAATAGAATAGAAGTAGTGCCATAAGAGTCTATATACAAGTGATAAATAATTTGTAAGTTGCAAACAGTTGAATGTAGTTTCTATATGTTATCACTAGCGTGGTTCAACGGAGGAAAATAAACATTACTACATTACAACAGCACTAAGTTAGAGAGCAATCAGAATGGATGAATTATTTTACACTGGGAGGGGTGTTGTTGACAAGTTGAGTACCTGTAGAGAACGCTGTTGAGAGAGTACGATTCCCCGTTGAAGGAGTTAGCAACAACCAGAAAATATTCCTCCCCGAGGCTGAAGAACTCCCAGTCCACTGCACTGGAGAGACAGAAAGGTATGTGGTGATGTTGAGAGGTTGAATTGGCAGCAAACAGCTTATTACACAGGAAGTGTGCTCATGATCTGTCTGTATGCACCTGGCAATGTTCAAATATTATGCCATCTGTACCTGTAGGTGACTATATCCTGGAAGCGAACAAACAGCTGTCCAATCAGGTCCAGTTCGTAGATGGTGGAGTTGATGGCATATTGACTGGGCCCATTACCCTGGAGTCTGTGTCCATTGGCTACAACCAAGAAGACCCTACTGCCAATCTGAAACATTTCCCAGTCTGTGGCGCAGAACGTCTAGATAAACAATCAAAGAGAAATCATCAGGTGTTTTTACTTGAGTAAAAGGTCTAGAGACCTCTTTGTTTGCTTGAAGCTAAAGATAATAAATCTGAAAGAGAAGCTGCCAAGAAACTAAATGATGTAAAATTATATATTTGAGCTCATTTCCTGATTATTATAAATGATTAATTTCCAACTGCCTCAAGGTGATCTTAGAAATCCTCACATCCAGCTGTGGAGTTCCCCTAAATCAACTCCTTTTGGTTTTTCTTGTGACTATTAATTTGTCAACACTGTCGCCTGAAATGTGGCGGGATTCAAATATGATTCCCTATCAGTTACATGTCAAAGCACTGCTATCGCCAAACAAATGATGGTTAATCCATTTCTGTCTGTCAATCCCTTTTTATCTCTTCTGTTTGTGTTTCTTCCTTCTGTGCTTTCAGACAAGATGCTTTTAATTTAATACTCATCTCAAAGATACAGATCTAATCGAAGGAAATCAAAGACCAGCTGGAGAGAAGATAAACTATATGTAAATGATGGTGTATAAAGCTACATTAAAGTGGAAATAAGACTAATTTACACTTCAAACTTCAACACCTTCCAAATATTTCCCTGATAGAGTACCAAACAGATGTTTATTTTAAAGTTTGACAGGCATATTTTCCCCTGCCATGGAGGTTTTTGGTTCTGGTTTGTTGCTCTGTTAGTCAAAAGGATTACTGAAAAACTATTGGCCCGATTTAAAAACTTCTAGTTTATGTACATTTTCGCATTTATTTTGCCGTTTTATGTTCACCACATACCTTTATTGTCTGAAACACCTGGAAGCTTCCATTGACCCAAACGTAGATGACAGAATCAACAGAGGTTGTCACTCCATCAAAAGCATTTGCGACCACCAGGAAATGGTACGGTCCGACTGTGAAGAACTCCCAGTCGTACGCCCCTGAGGTCCGCAGCATCTGATGGACCTCAAAAGACTTTGTCAACCTGTTCCATCTGTATATCACACTGTCTATGGTGTGATTTGTATCACCTGAAAGAGCAACCAGAAAGAAAGCAAATGAAACAGGATAGTTTGTGCATGTCATCCCAAGATTTATTTAAGTAAACAGGAAGTCATTTGATGGATGTTTAGTTGTTACCTTGTCTGTGATTGGCTACAGCGAGATAGGTTTGTTTATTGATTTGAAATGCCTCCCAGTCCCGTGCACAATGAGTCTGCACAGTCTGGAACCGCACAAATAGTTTTCTCCTTTTACTCCACTTGTAAATCACAGAAAAGTCATTCTCTGTTTGTTTGCGCTTGTCTGGCCCTCCTCCAGAGTTAGACACCACCAGATAAACCTAGATCCAAGTGACAAAAGACCAGGAAATATCAGCTCTCCACACTACTTTGACCAGGTGGATGCATGAGCCCGATTTACATTACATCACTTCCGACCTTTTTGCCAATGCTGAAGTGTCTCCAAGCCAGAGCTTCATATGTGCTGATATTCTGGTAGAGCTGGAAACCTGCGTTGCTCCACAGATACACAGCAGAGCCAGAGGCTGACCTATGAGCCATAGCCGCCATCATACCCAGGCCAGGTAACTGGAACACCTGAACATTTAATACAAAAATAATGAAAAAAATGCTCTTTGAACAGCATTAAGGTAGGCTATAGAAGAATGGAATCAAAACATGGTGAACATCACTGCTACAAACGATTGTTTGCATAAATGTAATGAAGTCACAAGTGGGACTGCAACTGAAATAAGCACCAAGATTAGCCAAATTAAATGTCTGGTATGCACACCTTTCTACCTAGAGAAAACGTACTTTTGACCAGAGGAATTAAGCACTAGTGGTATGGCTCCAAATCCTTTTTCCCCATAAAACTGTAAAACAGGGTTATGTTCAGTGTATGACCCCTTGTCACATCATGCATATCTTGTGTTTCACAAGGCAAAAGAAAAAGACTGTAGATCTAAGATAGACTCCTTGTGTGGGTCCTTTACCCTATAGGGAACCCTTGGGCCTGTAAGTCTGATATTGTGATGGCTGTACAACAAAATAAAAAATATAAATATTAAAGTTATACAAAGTGGATGTAATGTAAAAGTATACCTCTATGTCATGTGTCTCTGAGCTGGTGGGGAGGACCTGGTGTTCTGACACGTAGTCCAGTCGTTTATGATCTGAGTAGATGGAGTAGTGAGATTTTTGTAGATGTAAAGCTGAGTAAAACGTGCTCATGAGTGGATGTTTGGATGGTAAGTTCTCACCTTCTAACACGGTGATCCACACAGTACCGTCACAGAGATAGAGGCCTTTACTGAGTGGATTGAACCACATCTGGCCTTGGAGCGTCTTTGAGCACGGTCGCTCCGTCCCCACTGACACTCGCTCCTCTGTCACTGGCAAATCATGATCAAAACAAAGATAAGCAGACAATCAAAGGGCAAGGAAGCAGAAAAACATATTATTTGTAAGATATCTTTCATAATACTTTAAAAAGTATTTTAAAATGTGTCTGCAAGTTACCATAGGAAGTCACATGGCTGTCCCCATCACTCTCTATGACAGAAAGGTCTGACAGAAGTGGTGGTACTGACAGAACTGCTAGTTGGGGGTCAGAGGAGGGGCAGATATAATGGGTGGCGTCCAAACCTGGCACCAACACCAGCTGCCGCAACAGACCCTGTACACGAGGCAGCAGATAAGAAGGAAAAGGATTGACTTTTTTTTGTTTTTATCAGAAACATTTTTTATTATGTGGTTCAGAAAACGTATTTTTCATGTTCAGAAAACACAAGTCTTACTGAATACAAGCCTTTCCATCTTCCCCGACTGCCAATGTGAAATCTGGCTCCCTGAATGTTGAGGTCTGGAGGGAAAGGCCCGGAGGGAACTCTGATGGCAATAAAAATACATCATTATTTCTAATAGCTGAGCTAAGTTGTTTTTCTTCAATGAATGACACTAACAACTCTGTAATTAAAGGAGTATCCTCCATTCTCCTGTTTGTGCTACTGAGACAGGAATAGTATTGTATAGACACCATACGGTAGCTGATATTCCTCCGCTCTGTGTGCCAAAGGGAGTTTCCACAGAAAAACCATATATCACACATTGTCAGACCCCTGTGATATAGCTGCAGGGTGTGAGAGGATTTGGAGCAGTGCCATTGTATTGTGATGAAGGATCTACAATCCCTCAAAGGAATTCAGAGGCAACAGGAAGAGAGGATGGTGGTAGACAGACACACCCAGTGAACAAAAAACTGAAAAGCAAAAGAAAATCTTACATTTCCAGAGGTGAGTTGCAGTCCACAGTGAGCCTGACATGATGACTACCAACGACTAACAAGAGCGTGTGCCACTGATTGTCATCCAATCGGGTGCCTCGAAACACCCAGTGATCTACGACCCCTCTGTGACCTTTAAGAAGGAAGTGCAGACGATTTTTCGAGAACCTCAGGCCCAGGATGACGCGTCCAGGCTCCTCATTACTCTTGACTCGCCTCTCCTCTTCCCTATTTCCATGTTGCTCTTTTCCACTGACACCCCTCTCTAAAATGTCCCCCTTATTGTTGTCCTCTTCTTCCTCCCCCACTCCTGTTTTCTCTCCTTTTTTTGGCTCCGTCAAGGAAAAGATGTATTCATTTCTCTGAAAGGTAAACAGGGAAAACAGTCAGTATTTGACAAGGGCTGAAAGTAACAACGTACATTTACTGAAATACTTATTAAATGCTGCAAACATTAATTAATTAATCAAGGATATCGTCAACAGATTAATCGATAATGAAAGATTTGGATTTGAAATGTATGTCCCAGAGGGGTATATGTTCACCCCATCGACACAACAGATATACACAGCAACACATACTAGCAATAAATAGCGATGCAACAACACAGCGACATGCATCAACATATAGTAACAGCAACACACAGTAACCCCAAATACATATAGCAACAGATGGCTTTTAGCAACAAACAGACAGTAAATAAAAACATCATGTGTGAATCCATATTATCCCATTAGTGTCAGCAAGGAAGATTGTTAGGGCTGCTTAGTGAGCTCTTTTTCCATGTCAGTGTCCTATGTCTCCAACATGAGAGGAATGAAGTCTTGGATCGGGGGATTAGTGTCATTTGATATTGTGAGAGCGATGTGTGTGAGATTTATATCTGATACACTGGGTGTGAGAAGCAGATTAATTTGGCGGCAGTGCGTGTGGTGCTGGTGAGTTTGTTTTCCGTTGGTGATGGTAAAATAATGAAAAAGCAGGGGAAACATGTATGCTTTTATAACTAAGCCACAGGAAGAAGCAGTTGTTTAATGGACTATCAGTGATGAAAAGTGGAACATTCGTATTTACAACCCAATTTTGTACTTCTTTTTAAATACAATAGATTTAAAACTGTTACTTTTCAAATCACTTAATCATACTGCAACATCAGTTTTAAGATTAACAACAGTTTAATTTTCAATGAGTTTTTATACAATGCATATACAGTATAAATATATCCCTTAATATACTCCATTGTTCAAATTGCCTCCACCACAAAAATGCTGCATATTGAGCATTTCTAGGTTGTTGATATTATTTTTGTACTTTAATTTTTTATAATTTTAAATGTAGGGCCTTTACTTGAAACAGAGTTTTTTCACACTACACCGGTATGGGTACTTTCACTAAATGAAGAAGCTGAGTACTTCTTTGACCAAGAGCATTCAGTAACGGATGTTTCTGATAAACGTGGAGCCTCACCTTGGGCGCAGTGCTGGAGAACTTTAGAGTCACAACAATGGAGAATTGTTTGGGGAGGAGGTCGCAGTTGACCAGCAGCTGGGAGGAGGGAAAGCTCATGGAGGTGTGAGGGCTTGAGAAACTGACGCCCCTCACCCCTCCGGCCTGCTTCATGTTCACCCCTGGCACCATTTTGGAGGTGTCCCTCTCCAGGACAAAAGACAAAAGATCCAGAGGAAGCATATCTGAAGACAATAAGCAAATAAAGAACTCAGGAAGAGTGTTTTACAGCTGAAAGCCTTATTTATGGAGGAATTGCTACACTAAAGCAGTTGTTCTAAACGTGGGGTAAGGACCCCCTAAAGGGGTCGCAAAATAAATATATGGGGCCCTGAGATGATTAATAGGATTGCAAATAATCAATAAGATTATCTGCTTCCCACACTTTTTAGATTTCTCATCAATAAATTATTTAATCTCATGAAGCTCATTCTTAGGAATTGATGGAATAGTCAACCAAATAGGGAAATATTGTATTTCATACTCCACTACAATTATTTGACAGCTTTAGTTACTTAACAAATGAATATGTTTGCATACAACACACGTGAAAATATGTTGATATGAGATGCTATGTGATCAAATAAATTGCCCAACAGCATTTACAAGTAGAGCTGAAACGCTAAGTTCATTTACAGAAAATACATTTTTTAATGCAAAATCTTAACACTGATTTTGAATCTTTGGTTAATTGTATCTGACATCATTTTGTGAATTTTTACAAACCAAGCAACCTATCGATTATTCAAGAAAATAACCAGCAGATAAATCTATAACAAAAATAATCATTTAGTAGTTTCAGCATAAAAAAGTCATTTGCTCCAACTCAACCAACAACAAGGGTAAAACATGCCTTTAATATAAATGCATCAGTATAATATTATGTAATGACATGACATATAACAGTCACAGAGGACACAGTAATATTACTTTTAACAATGTAAGCACATTTTCCTGATAATCCTGTTATACTTTTACTTAATTAAGATACTTTTATAGTGGGGTAATTTACTTGAAATGAGGTAAGGAATCCGACCACAGCTGCTCAGAGGTAAACCATTTGAGACAAAAGGAGAAGACATAGCTTTATTGAGGTGACTCATGTATAAAAGAGTTGGGAGTCACTACTATAAACTGATAAATCAATTATAATGCTGGAGTTTCTGACCCACCCGGTGTTTGAGAAATAGCCCTGGGTGATGGTGGAGCTATAGGAGGTGGGGTTGTTATTAAAAAAGGACGCTTCATGAGCAACTGCAATAATAGAAGAGAATTGCCCTGAAATTGATGAGGCATCATAATGTTCGTCCTGACAATATGATGTGGATAGAATTGTTGTGGAATCCTAACCACATCCAATGTCTGTACTTGTTTGTGGAAGTTAATTTAACTTAATATTGCACGCAATACTGCACACACACACACAAACACTCCCACTGCACTGTACGCAGACACAGACAGTTGGAATTATCTAAAAGAATTTTAGCTGGAGGGGTTTCCCAGGTTTCTAAATGAAACTCTAAACCATCCGCACAATAATCATTAACTGAACATCAGATGTGTTGAAGTGAGCTGAGGTAATAGAGAGGGAAGCTGAGGTTGGGGAGAGGTAAAATAGAATTAAATGATGTTACCTGTGCAGCGTCTCCATGTGTCTGTGGTGCAGTCAATGACCCTTAACCCCAGGAGAAGGAAGTGCAGAAAAATGAGCAAAGTCATCACAAAAATCCTGTTTGGTTCAGTTGTCAGCCGGTGCGAATGTCTCCATATCAAAGATATTTTTCTTCCTTCTTTTGTCTCTATCTTAAGTGACAACAAACACAAGAGAAAACTGTGTATTATTCATGTTGATATGATTTTCAAGATCCAAAGAAAGATTTCTAGCCACAAATTCTGTTTCTAAAAATCACAAATATATAAACGAAGACCCAGAGCATCTGAGCTGGAAGAGGAATTCATTCATCTGTGTGGAGAATCCTGCACCTGCAGCTCCTTTTAAACACCAGAGCCATGCAAATCACTAAACAGCCTGTCATTCATCCTCCCTCAACCGCCACTGATGACACAGACCTGCCAGAGGGTGAGCTGCTCCTGTGAGCTGCTCCTGTGTGTGTGTGTGTGTGTGTGTGTGTGTGTGTGTGTGTGTGTGTGTGTGGTACACATATTTCAATGTAATAGTATAGAAAATGTCTGTCCAAAGATACATTCCTCCTGATATTCACGACATGACAAGGGGCCATAGCAGACAAAATGTAATTACAAAGGCAACCCAAAAACATAACAGTTGTGACCTTTTGTCCACTAATGGAAACATGGATATGAGCGGAGCTATTATCATATTAGTTGTTATCCCTATAGTTTATTACCTGAGAAACTGAGGTATGTGCATGAACCCAGCTGTGATATTAAAGTCTCAAACCAGGATGTTTTCCAAAATAATCTGCAAATATGGGGCAGTCTGGGGCCGTGAAATTAGGCAAACACTGCAATGACAAAGTAATAAGATGGCCTGGGTTAAATACAAATTGCATAATATAAAATTGGTTAAATCCCATGTTTTGACTATGGTCACCTAAAAATGTAATTCAACAACAAAGCCTTTTTGATCCTGATGTGTTGGTTACTAGGCGCTCGTGTAATATTTAGTCTGTGTTGTAAGAGACGTCGGCATCAGACCTCTCTGAATCCTATCATCCACCGACCGGCACATTTACAAGGCAAATACACTTTGTTTTTCTTCTTGTCGCTCATAAAGATCATAAACTGCACGCAGATCATGATACCAGATATAAACCCTGCCCCGCTTTTCTCTCTTTCCATTCATTAATCTTTCTTCCTTCCAGGCATGGACTGCAGTTTCAGAGGGAGATGTTTGCATGCAGAATTGTGAATAGAGATTTTCCAGTTGTTTTTCCTTATTCCTGGTTTGATATATCAACTGCTGCCATACGGCTTATCACTTTTCCAGTTGTGATGAAAGTAACCAGTCGATGTGTCAGATTAAATCTAAAACTCTAAATCCGGCATTGGCTGATAAAGGGACTATTTTTAATCCTTATCTGATTTAATATAATTATTTTTTTTATAGGCTGCTTTAATCAACCAAGTGATCCTTTGTATTATTTCATGTATTTTCAGGTACGTCATTGTGTCACGGATAATGTTATTCTAACTTTTGTCTTTATATTTAAGCAGAAATGTCTAGATTCTTGTGTTTCTGCATGTCCATGTTTCATATCAGATATAATCTTTTTTTGGTGAATATTCAGAGAAGTGTGTTTTGTGATAAATTAAATCAAAGCAGACAGAGCCTATCATAGTTCACTGGCACCATCTAGCTGTCAATTTCCTTAAAGACACATGCAGTGTTTCAATCTTTTTAGCAGGCAAGGCTTAAGAATTCAAACCGTGTCTTTCTTATAATCCAACACCTCAACTATGTATAATTGTGTTATGACAGCCATGTTCTGCCACGTGACAACATTTCAAGAATACCAGGTAGAAGAGAATAAATGGTTGACACGTGACGTGTTGTAAAAAAGCAATACCAATACACATTTTTGAACACACAAAGAAATAACAATGCATGTGACAGCAAATCTGAGTACCAAACTATATTTATTGTATACAGTAGTAAAAGACCACAAATAATGTACAAATCAGTAGAGAAACAAATAACATAAGACGTGGGCCCAATTCTTCGTACATGACAAGGCTTAGCTCATGTTGGCCAAGCTTAAAATATCCTAATCTAGCTAACTAAGTTCTTCAAATGCAAGCGGAAGGCAGTCCTGATTACTTCTTTTTTTGTGAATGAAAAGCTCAAATCAGGATCAATACTTGATGTGCTTGTGCAGAGGTATGTTCTTGGGAGAATAACAAAAAAATAACTATGTACCAACCTAGCTTGTCAAATGCTTGTTAATCACTGTAGGAAGGATGATAGTTTGGTAGTCCTTAATAGTATTAGTGAACATTTGAGCATGTGGCAACAGTGAAGCTTTTCAAACAGTGATGTTATATGTTAATTAAAAACGTTTAATGTTTGGCATTTACAGTTTTTATTCATATAGAATGCATACAAAAATACAGCTGACACATGATTTGGACTACAATTTAATTACCGAAAAAAAGAAAGCTCCTTTCTAGTGTGGCTGAGCAAAACTACATCCAAGGTTATGGAAACGTATCTTGCGGAGACTTGAACACATGAAAATAAATTACATTTGGAAAATTTAAAAATGTTTTTTCATGATCCAATTCACTCTGAAAATAATCTTGTGGACTACTTGATTCAAAAACACATTTTCCCGACTCAACTGAGACACCCAAGTTCAGGTCAGGGCATCAACAACAAGCAATCTCATGTAATGGTGTACGAAGAACGGGGCCATGTGGGTACAGAACAATTATCTCCCAAACTGCATTGGTTGCCCTCCTAATTTGCAACAAACTGAATGCATCCTTCTCTGAAGTGTAAAATAATGGAGACACTCATCACCACCTAAGACTGTTTGCAGATCTGAAGTCAGGCTTTTGAACAGATTGCCTTAAGCGTTTAAACAAAAGAAAATAGGTTGATTTCTGACAAAGCAGCAAAAAGTGTCTTCAAAATGAGTTGGCAGAAACTGACTATTATTGGATATCCGCTCTCAAACTAAGAGCTGCTTTTCTTCAAAAACATTTAGAATCAGTTTTCTCATGAGTCTACATTCTCAAAGACAATGCAGAGATGACTCAAGAACAGCATTGAGTAACAACCTTCGAGTTATTACCCCCAAAATGTAAAACACACAAGCAAAGCCAATTGTAAGAAACCATTAAGGACTGGCCATTGACCACTGACCAGCTTAAATCAGAAAAAGGGGCAAGAAAACAAGTCATGTATTCCACATTAAGAGACCATCGTTACAAAGATAGACCACAACCAGTTCCAGCAAAGGATAAATAACATTTGTTATCTTTTGTCTGGATGAGCGAATAAAAGTCTGTACCACGGATACCCAGAGAAGATTTCTCAATTAAAAAGGAAGCAAATAACATGAATTAAATACAAACTCCCTTAAAATGTGACGGGTTAGACCTTGCAATTTGCTTCTACAGTGATCCAAGTACATCAAATATAAAACAGAAGTTCATTCTTTGGAGTATTGGTCCAAGCCCCAAAACTTAATCTAACATCCACTGAGACTTCTATAGGAAAATCAACAAGCCTCCTGCATGGTAATTGTTAAAAGACAATTAAAAAACAAACAAACATTGCAGAACTCTTAAGCGAAAGCACCTAAAATGCAGAGAATTAAAATACCTTTCTTGACAGAAAAGCAGGAGTCACCGTTCAGATAAAAAAAGCACATGAAAGCGAAGTGAAATGGAAGGCGGGTGTGTATTAAGTTCAGATGGGTGCTTCCACTTCACAACATTTCCATGCCTACTGAGTGTGACCCCGGACAAAAACTTGCATTCAACCCTGATGGATGAAAATTGTGACAATATACCAGATACTAAGCTTTCACTGGAGAGTGAATGAGAAGCACTGACAAACCAGGAACACATGTGACGCGCTGTTCGTCCAATCGCAGCCTGCGGTGTCGGAAGGAAAGGTTGTCCTGATTGGCCAGCAGAGAGACTGTTGACACGCACAAAAGTTCAGTCCTGGCTGTGACAGTACATAAACAGCTTAGGGGCCCCCTCCCCTCACACACCTGACGAAGAACCATGACAGACATCTCAACTGAAGAAATAATAATAATAAAGATAATAATAGTAGGCTGAGAGGAGCGATGGGAAGGGGAGGGACAGTGAAGGTGGCTGAGGGTGGCCGTCAATTAGGGTGGTGGTGGTGGTGGGGGCTTAGCAGTGTCCGCCTGTCTGCTGCTGGAAAACATCTATGGTGTCTTCATCTTCCATCTCCAGCTGAGAGAGGCAGAGGAAAAGAGATCCCAGTAAGTACATATAAACAATAACTATACAGGTATAATGATGCAGATTTATAAATATAACATTTTAGTAAACTTTTCAGAGACGCTAAATAAACATTGCTGAATATTCTCTTCAACAGTGACAGGCTTCTATGTTGCATAATATATTACCTGTGCAGGTGTATCCGTCTCATTGATAGGCTGGCCGTCAAACCTGAACCTGATCTGCCTTATTGCGAGACCCTGCAGAAGTGAGGACCGACATGATGGTGAATTTACACATAGTAGCAACATGAAGTGTGCAACTAATGATAAGGCTGTTTGAGGTGTTTCAGTAAGTTCAATTTGGTCGTTCAGCTTACCTGTCGGTCACAGTATGCCTTCATCAGTTTGCTGAGCGGTGTGTGTCTTTTGATTTTGAACTGGACCACCGACCCATCTTGCCCTGCAACCTTAAGATTGATGTGATCGTTCTCAGTCTTTACTCCCTCCTGCAAAAAAAAAGTGTTTAACATGGCGTAAACATGCAGGTTACAAGCTACAGAGTCACCACATTTATGACACTAATGGAGCTTACTCTGAAGTCACTGCATGGTTCACTGCAAAAGAGCAGTATTACAGTTGCATGACAAACGAGGTAACATAAGTTACCACTTACCAGGCTGCCAGCTAACGCTACAAGCCTGAAACTTTTAAATACATTTAAGTGAAAACTCGATGTGTGGTGAATGAAAACACAATTAAGTAGTTATTTAAATAAACAAACGTATGTGAGTCAGCATAAAACATGCAGGTTAAGGTTGCTTCAGTCACAGATGCTAACGTTAGCATGATTAGCTTCGGGCTAGGTATTTGGCACACGAGCCCCTTTAAGACCGATACTGAGTTTAGCTGCCGGCTAACGCTGCTAGCGGTTTTGTTTGGTTGTACTGATGCAAAAAAGGCACTGATCCATTAAAAACAACCACAATAGCACAGCTACAGTGTATTTTATTTCTGTGATGCACCTCCATTTGCGCTCTTTTGTAGCTGCTGCAGTTGCGGCATTTTCTGCGTTGCGGGCATAACGTGGTCCCGTTTCGACAAAGAAAAAAATCCGCAAATGACAATCATGGTGTAATTGACATTTCCGAGCAAAATCTTCGAGTCTCCATTTAGTATGACATCATATATCCACCAACAGAGTTATTTGTAGCCGCATGTAGATGTAAATATGGATGTGACTGGTACTCATTCATTTGCGAAACAAACACTGCGCCGATTCAGAGAAACGTGCAAACCAGGCCATTTTAGATTGCACATCTAAGAAATGGTTTGGCAGGAAATCTACTCAGCAATCACTATAAATATACAGCTATTTAATTCCTTATATCTTACCTTTGGCTTTTCCTCTGACATCCTGGCTGTATTTTGTGTGCTGGGGGTTCAAAGTAATCGGTTAATTGGGCTATATTTGTCTCTCTGCCGCCTTCTGTGCTCTCTTTTCCTCCGCTGTCGGGTGCGCGCTTTGGACCGAAGTTATAATGAAACGATTGGATCCGAGAAGACCACGTGACTGGTAAATCTCGGGAGCGCGGACACGGGAGCGCGCATATGCTAATTACTCGAGCACGCGAGCCCATGGAGTGAATGCTCTTCTATTCCTCTTAATACTCCTACAATAGCATGTTTTTATAGGATATGTATATATATGTATTAAAACAGTAAGTAGGCTATATAAAGTAGTGCATGAAAGTTATATTAAAAACATTTTTTTCAGATTTCAAGCACCATTTTAAATGTCCTTACGGCTTCAAAACTATTTTACCCACAAACACTATATTTACTAAAAGCAAGTTTAACTTATAGAAAAATCGTTTATTTTAACTGATATTTAATTATATATTAAATATAAACATTAGGGCTGGACCCGAATAACCAACTGTTGTAAAAATAGGATTTGGATTTTCAATTTGGGTTTAGATTTCTTTTTTTCTCTCTCAGAATACCTGACATACATAACACGTCAATAATTCCTGTTTCTCCCATTTATTCAATTATTAACAATACAACAAACTAAGTGACTTTATAATGTGGAAAAATACACTAATTTAATTCAAACGAAGGTTTTGTATTTCAGAGCTGTACCATCCATCTTAGCTGAGAGCGTAGATGTCTGCCGTTGTACTTCTCGAGTCTTGTGTCATGGAGACATCAGGCAGAGCGCTTGGACTGTATCGGAGAGGCTTTACAGTTTAAAATATGGAACTTTCTCACTTACCTGAACCTGACTGACAAAATATAATATACTGGCAAAAGTTCTTGTTTAAATTATAGCACAACAGAGTCAAATCACACAATAAAAGTCCAGCGTCAATAAGGATTAAAATATAAGTCCAGAGTCTTTTTTATTTGGCTTGTGTGTCTATACAGGATATACATGCAATGTAGAATTAGGCAGACTTTTATCAATCATCAGGATCAACACATTCAATTTTAATTAATAATTACTAGGAGCAAGGGTACAGTGAAACATGGAGCAGTAACACAATACAAAATTGCCTCCTACATCCCCGGATAAGAATGACTCAATTTGAGATAAGATAAGTAATTAGACAGTACAAAAAGAGCGTATACTTTAAGTTATTCTCAAAATCAGCAGCAACTCAGAGGGGCAAAACAGATCAATCTGAAAATGTGCAGATACAAAGATATTATAGCAACCAAGCTGGATTCTCTCCATTCTGTACATTTAAACTAAGGACTTTACCTAATAAATAGTATAAGGCTGATGCTATCGGAGCCACACAATAGACTATTATAGTCTTGAAAAGCACTGCTGCCACAGACGTCTATTCTAGCTTTTGGTTTACAACCTCTTAGGAAATCACATTGAGCACAACAAACCTATTCATTGGCTGGAAAGAACAATACATGCTAAACAAAACTACTGTCACCTGTCTTAGCTATATTACATTAATTCTCACATCTACAAAACATGTTGTTGATGTCTGCTCTGCGAGAGGTCAGAGTTCAGAGGAAAAGAGAAAGATCCTCATGCGAATTTGGAGTATGGATTTTGCCCACTTAGTCCTGGAGAAACATAAAACAATCAGTAAAAGTCTTGAATCAACTTCATTTCAAAGAGTAGTCTTTGGGAAACATGTGTACTTGTTTTTCTTGCTGAGAGCTAGAGGAGAGGACTGGCACCATTGTCATGTCTTTCAGACTAAAAGGAAGCTAGCATCAGCAGCTGGTTAGCCTAGCTTAGCACAAAGACTGTAAATAGTATTCAACATCTATTGCTATGTCTGTAATCTGCTTACCAGTGGGTCTAAAGTTGATCAATATTGTGTTATTTTGCATTTGTTTATATCTAAAGAACAACGTGTACCAATAACACATTCAAGGGAGACGGAACAACATATCACTTATTTTGGACAAATGTGTATGATAAAGACAGGAAAAAAGGTAGTATGTAAGCAAGTGAGTGTGCTCACCATATTTCTTCCTGATATCGTTATGTCTCTCGTTCATTTCAGCTTTCCTGTAAGGACAAAACAATCTCTTATGAGCACAATGACTGATAATACGTTTTAAACACTCAAACACTCCCATAAGTCATGTGGCTACAAGCCAGTTTGGGCTGGTAACAGTTTGACGTATGCTTTTGTAGTTTGCTATGACGGGAACTGATATGAATCATGTCCACCAAGGCAACAGGGGCAACTAGAGTGGCAAATGGCTGTGGATACTGAACCAGTGCCTTTGGCCAATAGTTCTCTATATGAATACATCTAATGTATGTGCATTTTTACTGAGAAAGAGATCCTCACCGGTCGCTATTTCAGTAAGATGCAGCCTGATAGTCAGACCGATTTGCTTTATTATTAACCGTTTTAATTGTAAATTCAAGTCCACCTATTGTATCTGAATTCACGTGTTACTGTGTATCTTGAAACATCGTGTAGCACAAGGGCAAACATCACTTTAACAGAACATCATTTCTTACCTTTCTTCCTGCTTTGTCCTCGTCTTGTTGGCCTGTTTCTGCAACTTGGCTTCCGTCCTTTTGGATCTGACACACAAGTTAGGCTAAGGTTAGATCCTGGAAAGGTACTCAGTGAGTGTTTCCAGGGCAGACGCCTTAAGGTAACCACACCAAAGCTGACAGAAATGTTCAGCATGTGGCCGAATTATCTTATCATCATTGAACTTAAATATTCCTAAATACACAAGGATCATATTCATATCATAACATCACCTTGTAATGAATTAAGTTCCAGGCACAGAAGTATATTAGGAAAGTCGACGTGACATTAATCTAGACTTATTCTGGCTTCAAACTCACCAAAATGTACTTTCTGATTTCATCATTCAATGACAAATTAAAGAAAAGTTTGTTTGTTTGTGTTATTGTTTGTTAAATGCAAGTATGTATATCTTTTTGTATTACTCATGTCTAATGACAAAATCCATAAAGTTGCAGACACTGTAACAGATAGACGGTAGGTACTACAACTATACAAAACAAATCATGTCTGACCTTTCTCCTTTACCTACAGTTCATTAAGTCCCTATAAAAAAAGTTGCATATTCCCTTTATCATCATTATCATAGAGCGATAAGATCTCCATAAAGTAGCTCTCTCGCTGCACACTTACCCAAAGTTCTCACACTTGCAGCAGCAGAACAGGCAGATCAGGAAGGCGATGATGAGAATTGCACCCAACACTGACAAGGTGATTATCAACGTCTGGAAGTTCACTACAGACAAAAACAGAGAAACACAATGACAAAGGTATGCAGGAATCCACAGATCCAGATCTACCTTCAAGATAGAAAGAGAAAACACGTTCTTCCTATTATTCAGCACTACTTTTCTTTTCATCACATCATTGACATAGTCACTCTTATCATTCTAATAGTATGTACATTGCAAAGTGACTTTTTTGACCGTTAAAACTTGTAATGTTGCTTGGTTTTTGTGTTATCTTTAGACCAGGAGACATAAAGGTCAGTTCAGTGCAAGACAGAAGTGCAAGTCCCAGTTTGACATTTACAAATACATGTCAAAACTGTAAGTACTCTTGTGAGAATGTTTAATTATCTGTGTTCATTTTTAAGCCCCATTTTTGCTGTAGTCTGACCTTGAAAAGCACACCAATACTTTATTTATCATCATAATTAATATAATTGACAGCCAGTAGGGGCATATTGTACATATGAGACAACAGAAATGTGTCTATTGTCAGAAGATTTTCAGAAACATTCTATTGCCTTACATTTCATTGAGTATTTCAGACAATTGAGACATTGTAGATATCAAAATTGTGTTTGATTTAATCTGGGGAGCTGTCATGGACCCTTTTCCCCACTTTCTGGTGTTTCATAGACCACACTGAGTTGATTAATTTACAATGAAATAGATCTGTACTGGCAGTCCTTCATCAGAGGAATGTAGCTGAGTCACCTGTGACATTTGCTTGAGTTAACTTAGGTTGGACTAAATGGAAAAATACGAATGATTAACCAGTTCCTTAAAACAAATAATTCATTTTTTGCATAGGAATTGACAAAAAATCCCTAAGTGAATAATGAACTATAGGCTTATGTAATGCACTCATTAAAAGGGTCTTTAACAGTTTAGCTTCTTCTACCCAACACAATCTCCTGTTAACGTTGAAAGAATGTACATCTGAGTATATGTTGATAGAAGTGTGATTTTATATATGATTGTATATTAATGTGTTTGTATTTCTTACTCCAGCAGAGCCCCCAGCGTGCTTCTTTCAGAGGACAGAGTGCATGTGGTGGAAGGATGGTCTTCACTGGATACGTTACACACAACTTGGATGTGATACACCACAGACACTGTAAAAATACCAAAACACATAAAGACTTATTATCTGAATTGGATCAGGTAGTCATATGTAGGACACAGTTGAAAATTGAGGAAAACCGTGAGAGTGGATAACAGATCAGTTAACTCCTCAAACCTGTTTAACTGGTATGGAAGTGGAGGAGGTGCGAATGGCTTTGTTTCCTCCACCTGTAGCAGGATGCTTGTTTTTCAATCATAAACACACGGAGACAGACTCACAACAAAGGGAAATTGACCCAGCAAAAACAAAAGAACTGACCGACACATTTTTCAGACATTCCTCGCAGTTTGTCCCATTCTTCTGCTCACACGCTGCGAGAAAAGAAAATCAGTTTAGATAAAAGAAAACACAAAATGATCCACAGAGGGTAAATAAAGGAGTCAGTTTGAGGTCCTCAAATGTTTCCTCATTAAATAAACAACTTTAATAATAGCTGGAAACACTGTGAGAGGTAGATTAAATGACGCATGAGCTCACTGTGGTTTTTGTAACTACTGCTAATCCTCATGGGACATTTTTCATAGAGACACAGCACAGTAAACATACAGGCTCCACACCAGTCATGTTATTATCAGCAGACTGCACAGGACAACAGCTGGGGTTATCTAAGTGTAGCCATTTCCCCTAAAATGAAGGTGTAAACAAACCAAGTATCCTTGTTATGTGGTTGGTTGGGTTGGTTTGTGGCTAATCCAGCAGGTTTCTTTACTCTGAATTAAAAAGTGGGGGTTGTTGAAAGCGACTCATTGTTCCGGTTTAGAGGTTTCAACAATACACAAAGATATGAAACTAACAGAGGTAGACTGATATTAATGTAGTCACTGTTTATCTTTGTTTTAGGTGAAGATTAATATGCTGAAACTCAGTCTTTATTTATCTTTTTGGCAAATAGTTTTATGAGAAATCTGAGACCAGAACAATTTATTTGAACTGTGTTGGTGCTATATTTCACTAAAGTGTGTTTGGTTGTTTTATGTCCTGTTCTATTATTCAAAATGTAAGATATTAGAGAGCTCAAACACGAAATAAAAAAACGGAAAATATTGTAATCTAAGGTCAAAGCAGTGTTTTAATAAATCAGGTGTCTATTTGTTGCCTTTCAATTTTTCCTAGCACATCATAAATCAAAACGATGGAACTAAAATCGATTAAAAAGAAATGGAGTGTGTCTGTAGCAGCAATGAATTCCTCAGTGATTCACTGATTCCCACTCCTACCTTGGTCAGGTGAAGACTTAGCGAAAACTGTCGCTAAACCGAAGAGAAGCAGCACAGCAGCGAGACAAATCCGTGAATCCATCATTATAGACGCACAATATTCCAGATATTATCCCTCAGACTCTTCGTCTGGGAAGATTTGTAAATCCTGTAAGCGTAAAAACAGGAAATGTCTGTTGCTTGGATGCTGAAACTCGAGAAGTGAACTTAGGGAGAAGGAACTGATCACTGAACCCTGACGCACGCTCAGTACGCAAAAACGAGTGGGGGAAGGCATTTTTACCTTGAAGGTAAAGTAAAGTAAACAAAGAAAAGTGTCTCCTCTCATTATATTTTCCCAATGTTTTCACTTCTTTTGCAGAATTTCACTAGTTTGACTAATTGTATCAGTTTATATTCAGATATTGAGTACATGGGTTCACAAGATGCAGGCTATTTGGGCGTTTTTCGGACATTTTTGGAAGAGGAAGGTAGAAATTAATTAATTTAACATTACTTTTTACATATAGCCTACATATTATTACATTCTTTAAATCACTTGATGTTTTCTCTATAATATTTGCTCTTTATGAAGAGTTCTCTATAGTGACTAGTGGATAGGTATAGATAAATATGCAATGGTAGTAAATCAGTGAAATCTGAGAAGTTTACAGTAGAAATTGCTCCTTTTTTGGACCTGCTAACAACTGAAAGACATTGACAACTTGAGCCTCAATCAGAAGCTGTGGTTTATTGAGGAGAAAACAAGACGTGGTGTTTTTTTATAAATTCAAAATGTTTTAAAAATATTCTAAATTGGCTATTTTTAAAGTGAATTGACATCATTTTGTTTCAATCTGCCTGTCGAACAAGCAAATAAACATATTTCCCCAAATCTCAAAACTGTTCCTTACATCTAAAATAGTTGTTTTATTAGCTGTTAAATTAACATGGAGAAATGTTTCCTTTTATAATAGCGGAAATATAATGTAGCATACAATGAAAATATAAGTGGAGTACAAGTAACTCAAAACGTTATTTATGTAGTGCTCAAATAAATATCCTAAACCTTACTTTACTGGTCAGAATAAATTCACAAAGACAACATGAACTAGAGGACAATAATTCCAATAATTTATTAAAGCATAATTTTGTAAAGCCAGTTACAAATAAAAAAAGAACAACACACATATCTCTCTCTTTCTCTTTTCTTTTGTTATAACAAGCACAATGTTAATGACGATAATATGCATAATCTAAGATAAGAACGGGCCCCACTTTGGCCGCCTGCGGCTGATAACAGGACCCTTTGTGATGAAGTTGCCCTTGGAAACGGATTTGGGATCAGAAATCCAACATAATTTCTCTGCAGTAAACTCACTGATCACATGTCAGCCACTATGGGCAACTTCTTCCCACTCAGTGTAATATCAGTGATATATGGTTCTGATATTCACTTATATCAGAACCATAGATATAGAATAACTAGAACAGACAGATCCAGGTTCCTCCTTACATATGGCTTATGGGTTCTCTGGTTCTCCTTTCCTTTTAGCCAAAACTAAAATAACTAGAAGTTCAAACAGGAACCTGTGAGTGAGTTCTGCTTATTCTAAATCTATAGGCAGGATCCCAGTGGGCTGTGTGTCTGAGGCAGGGCCGTAGCTAACATTCAGGACACTGAGGTCATGTCCTTTGTGTCTTTTCTAGGAATTTTTGGTATTTTATCATAGGTGGTAAAGGGACATTTATTTCTTCAATGAAAGAACATGATTGGAGTGTTTTTAAGATTAAATGCATTTAGTTTTTTTACTTTAAATATGTGCAGGCCAAATCTATATTTTAGCTATTTTCTGAACAGAATGCTATTCCAGTTCAGTATGGGTTCCTAAAAATTAAGTAGCCATTCAACAAATGTACATTTTCAATTATGCTTCCAGAGAACCATATTGTCTTTTATATTTTACTTATAACAAATTGTATATTTGGGGGTGTTGAAAATCTTGACTCATGACCTCAGTATTACGTCCTGGCTACGGCCCGGAAGTGTGGCGCTTCAGGTAGACAAAACATTTCAACCTTTAAAGTTCCACTTCATTGAAATATCTGGCAAACCATAAATATTTTCAGGTCAAATATTAAACAGAAACTTGTTAAAAAAAACTTCAGCTGACAAATGAGTTGGGCCATGTCTTGATATTAGTATGTTCTGTGATATCTAAGTATTCCCTCTAGATATTCAATGTTGGGAAACACTTTGTCTCCAAGGGTTTGTCATACAAGAGGGGATAATTATGTCTACCGGCAGTGCCACAGAGAGAGGTGACAGAACAGTGAATTCTCTTTCAGTCCACGCACTCACGCACACTCACGGACACACGCACACACACACAGCAGTGATGACTGTCAGCATTCCCAGCGATCAAAAGCACATCTGGGCCCATATCCTCACAGTGTCTTATCCTATCCGCTCCTCTTACACCAAGATTGTAAAATTCCAATATATTTGTATACAATATTCTTCCAAACACACCTTGCAATACATACAGTACAATTATAATTAAATAACCCTCTAACCCTTATAAGCCCATGCTTTTTTCCTCTAAATCACAATCACATCACCATTCTTTGCAAATGTTAGTTATGTAAATACTTCTTAATTTCAAGGAATACACTCATTATAAATCACTTCTCATTTCCAACTGTTACACTATGAACACACACACACACACACACACACACACACACACACACACACACACACACACACCACTTCAGGGTGGTTAAGATAGCAGAGGGCATACAGTACAGTAACAGTAGAAGTATCAGTAATAGAAATCACATGTTCATAAACAGGTTGGAAACATAAACAAACCGGAGCTCTTATGCGTTATTGTTCACTAATCTTAGTAAATAAATAAAATAAGAAAAGCATGAGCAGACAACGATATATAACACTGTATGACTCCAATTAATGCTGCAGAGTGATTTACAACAATGCATACGTCATCAAACACTGTGAAACCACAACCACCAAAGCAGCCTGTCTCATTATGGTCTGTGTTTTTAATAGTTATTTCTCTGTGAGTCACATTAATGGCACAGCCAGTGAATTATAGCATTGTTTTTGGACATACAGTAGTCATTATTAACACCATTCATTTGCATTTACACAAGAGGTGTCACATTGTATTTAGTATGGCATCTGTACAGTGGCCCACCAATAATTCAGTAATTACTCTTATAATGTGTGATATACAGTACAAAACAATACATGTTGGTTCATGTGTGTATATGAATATACAGTAGATATATGTAGTGTGTATTACAAGTAGACATGGACAGGGAAAGGTTTTGTTTTATACTATTCTGGTTGATATTGTTCTCCCTGTAGTGCCAAGCGAGGCTGTTTCCCATGCCCTGACTCTCCATGTCGAGTTAAACTTGACCAGAGAGCCTCCAAAGCAAAACCTCTACTCTTTCTTCTGAAGAATATCTCTTTGATATTGTTCCGAAATATTTAAAGCCACTTCCTTTGGCTGTGTTTTCTTCTTGTGGCCACACGGTGGCACTGACGAGTGAGCGAGTGAACACTATATGTGGAGCTCATTTTCCCCTTTAGTAGCCCCTGAAGAAGAATCATCATCGAGTCCTTTTTCTCAGTCACAAACAGATGCGATACAGCTGATGTAACACATAAACAACAGAAAGAGAACAAGAAAGAGAAAGCAAGCAATAATTTAGCGTAATAACTTAATATCAACAGCAAACAAAGATGCAACAAGAGTGAGGACACGTGAAGAGAAAGAGAGAGACTCTTGAAAGTGGAGGAGAGAGAAAGAAACAGATTTAACTGAGAAAGTGTGGCTTTCTTCTGTCTGGCAGTGCACTGGGGGGTGGAGGGGGGGTTGGGTAGGGGGTCGCCACCTGGAGCAGACTTGTATTGGGCGGCTGAGTTGTGCTTGTTATTACTGAGTTTTGTCCGGAAAAAGGGAAGCGGAGGGAAGTTTGGAGTGTGCTTGAACATCTACATGCAGGACTACAACTGGCGGGTTATGTATTTGAAAGGACCGTCCCAAAAAACAGGTGGTTTTCTTTGACATGCACATTTTTAAATAGATCCCCCTATCCCAAGTGAGACCCAGGCCAGTAGAGTGTGCGTTTGGCTTCTGTGTCCACTTCCATCTTTATTTTCCTCCCATTCGATCATCCATCACTCTTGATTCAGCCTCGAGGAATAGCTGGTTGGTGCGACTGCCTCCATATAAAAACAACCAACCAATGCAGGGGGGCCAGAGGCGTCTGTGGCCCCTGGATGAACCGGGCTCTGATTGGTTTGTGGGAATCACCTGGCCCAGGAACTGCCGGTGCTGGTAATCGACATGGTGCTGCAGCGTTTCTTCACCACCATGTTAATGTAGGCCCTCATGATCTTGGTGATCTCGCCAACCTAAAGACAGAGAATGAAGTGATTGGTTTATAGTTTTCCAGTGGTGATTATCTTTTATTTATGAGAAGAGAGTCTCGTTGAAATAAAAAACATGATTGAATAAACGAAAACATCTAAAGTTAGATGTCTCTGCCTTCAATTCATAAAAACTCCTTTAAAGTCATCCAGAGAAACCAGTTCAGTTTAATAAAGTTGATCAAATAAATGACCACTTTCGGATCCTCATCAAAAATAACAAACAAATAATCAACATTTTATAGACTAAATAAGTAATGAAAAGATGAAACTAATCTGCAGCTAGGGTTGAGTACCGAAATCCAGTTCCGATTCGCAGCCCTTAACGAAGAAAAAATACTTGAAAATGATAAAAGTTAGTAAATATTGAGCTCTCACCAGTGGTGTCTCGAAGTACATCTCCCTCTCGTCCACGATGATCTTGTAGGTGCAGGGCTGTGACGCCCCAAAGAAGGTGATGTGAACGTACTGGAAGGTCTCCAGGGGCTTCGGATCGCCTCGCTTATACACCGACAAGTTGTCAGCACTCACGCTCAGCCACAGATCATGAGGGAAACCACCCTCTTTACACTGCAGAAAACAAGAAGAAGTTACTTAGTGGTTTTTGCAACAATCCTTGCTATCCACCATTTGCTCTACTATTCTCTCACCTCCACATCAAACAGAGTAGATCCATATCCAGGCCACTCCTTGCTAATGCTCATGTATTTAAGCATGGCCTGATGCTGGGGCATGCCCTGCAGCCGGGTCCACTTCTCCAGCACGCTGGTCCGTGTGGCCGACGTCTCCTCCTTCACCCACATCTC